TGCAGTGCGGCGGGGTCTGAGCCGGCACTCCTGGGCACTGGGATGGGGCCCCCGCCTTGGGCAAGGGCTGGCCGGATCCGTCCCCGGCCGGCTGGGCTCTGCGCGGTGCCGGAGGGCGAGCGGCAGCTGGGCTCTTGCTGGGGTCCCCATGCTGCCCGGGGGACCCCTGTCCCGGTGCTTCGTCTCTGAGGGTGAGGGCTGCTCGCAGCAAACCTGTGTGGACTCCTTGCACCCGGAACCACCCCGCCACCACCCTGTAACACCTCAAGCTGGTGGTAACTCCCTCATTAACCCCCCTATGCCAGCAGGTCCTGGGTGGCCGCGTACCCTTGCTGGCCATACCCAGATTTTGGGGCCGCGCCCTGTGTTTGCTCTCCCAAAGGAGAACGGCCCCATCCCAGAACCAGTGGCTTATTGCTCTCTTTGGGTCTGCTGCACATTGCCCGGTACAGCTGGCAGAGTCGGACTCTGCCTAGCCTGGGCACTCCCTGCGCGGCAGCAAACAGCTTGCTGGTTACCTCTGGCATGGTGCAACCATCTGGCACGGGGAGATTTCCCCGCTCCCCTCTGCGTGCCGGGAGCTCCGTGCTCCGGCTCTGCAGGGAAGGATGCTGTGCCCCGGCCCAGGGCGTCTCTCCGGGTGCGGATGCTCGGGGGCTGCGGGGATGACCAGTGCCAAATCCCACCCCCCATCTCTTGCAGATCACGTCCCAGCGGTGCCACAGGCTGGAGCTGTGGGGTCTGGTCGCCGTGGGGCTCCTGGGGCTCTGCTACCTGCTCTACCAAGATGACCAGCTGTGGCCCAGTGCGGTCCCCGAGCGCAGCACCCCCCCCCGGCCCCCTTTTCCCGAGCGCAGCACCCCCCCCAGGCCCCGGGCAGCCCCCAGGCTCCCCCCGCCCCGGGCTCTGTCCATACCTGCCCCATGCGTGGCCAACACCTCGGTGCACCACATTTCCGGCTTTGCCAAACTGCCCGGCCATGTGCAGGACTTCATGCGGTACCAGCACTGCCGGTCCTTCCCGCTGCTGCTCGACGTCCCCGGCAAGTGCGGGGGGGCCGAGGGGTCCTCCGACATCTTCCTCCTCTTGGCCCTCAAGTCATCGCCGGAGAACTACGAGCGGCGGGAGGTGATCCGCAAGACCTGGGGGCAGGAGAGGACCATTCAAGGAGCCTTCATCCGTCGGGTCTTCCTCGTGGGGGTAGCCCCCAACGCCTGGAATGCAAAGAAGCTCAACCAGCTGCTGCGGCTGGAGCAGCGGGAGCACAGGGACGTGCTGCAGTGGGACTTCAGGGACACCTTCTTCAACCTGACGCTGAAGCAGGTGCTCTTCCACGCCTGGATGGAGGAGCACTGCCCCGGCGTCCGCTTCATCTTCAATGGGGACGACGATGTCTTCGTCAACACGGACAACGTTGTCAGCTTTGCAATGGCCAGCCAGGGTGCCCAGGAGCAGCACCTCATGGTGGGGCAGCTCCTCACCCACACCAGCCCTATCCGCTTCCAGCAGAGTAAGTACTTTGTGCCCACGCAGCTCCTGGCCTCCGAGTGGTACCCGCCCTACTGCGGCGGCGGCGGGATACTCATGTCCGGCTTCACCGCCCATGTCATCTCCCGGGAATCGCGGGACATCAAGATCTTCCCCATCGACGACGTCTACCTGGGCATGTGCTTGGAGAAGGCAGGGCTCCGTCCCGCTTCCCACGACGGCATCCGGACCGCGGGCGTGGGGGTGCCAGCCAACGCCGACCCCTTCGATCCCTGCTACTACCGGGAGCTGCTGCTGGTGCACCGCTTCGTGCCCTACGAGATGGTGGTGATGTGGCAGGCCATCCACGACCCCCACCTGCTCTGTGGCAAGAAGGTGAGCATCTTCTAGGGCGGCCGAGGAGGAGCGAGAACCAGGGGGGAATGCCGGTGCAACCCGAGGGCTGCTTGGGCTGCGGCTCTCCGCGGATCCCTGGTAGCTGCTGCTCGGGACTGCCATGCTGCGAGGGAGGGTCCCCGGAGACCCCGGGGCTGACCCCCATCTCCACCGTGGTCCTGCCGGGAGTGCAGAGTGGCATCTGCGAGGCCGAGCCCCAGCTCCCACCCTGGGGACTGCTGAGTGCCACCACGCGCCCATCCTGTCCCTGGCTTGTTTCTGCCTGGTTTTACCCCAAATCTGCCCTTCCGTGGCCAGAGGAGCCCCAAGGCACCGGAGGGAGAATAAACAAACCTGTGTTGTTAATGAGGACATGGGGTCTGGAGCCTTCCTGGAGGACTGGGGTGCAGGGAGGACGGGGCTGGCTCAGGGGGAGCAAGGGGAACCCCTGACCCCACTAGGGTGGGCGTTTACCCCCAGCGAGGTCCCTGCCCTGGGGGTCCCTCTGCAGAGCCCCCGAGGTCCCTGCGCTGTCCCCAGTCCCGTGCGCTGGCTGGGGGGGACGGGCTGCGCTGCTGTCTGCGAGGTCTCGGTGATGACCCTCGGCGCAGG